GTTGGAAACTATGAAATGTAACCAAACCCATCAAATCACCAAGCAATTCTTTTTCAGTTTTATGGTAAATTCGAATTTTTCAGTGTTTATAAATGATATTTTTATTTTTTTGAGATGGTAATTTGTTTCACCTAAAATAACGTTTTGTGTGCACTGTCATGACTTGCAATATTACGTCTATGAAGTTTTTCTGCCCGTGTCTTGATTTCTACAATATTCACAGAGTGAAATGGCATACCTTTTTTCTATCTGGTCTTATAGTCTGGACTGAAAGTCATTTGGCAATAGTGTTGCTGCTTTTTGTGTATCAAGGTTCTTCTAGTAAGGGTTTTGGTACTACATTTGATAATGAACGCATTAAATGTAGTGACCAAATTTGTTTTTAAATTATACACACACGTGTATTAATTGCTTGAAAATGCTTATACAAGTTTTTATTATTATTGATCGTGATTTAATTTCGCAAAAGGGTGATTCAAGAAAGTGAAAATTGTCAAATTTGTTTTTCAATATGCAATATAGTGATACTCCTACACACTTTATAGTAATATAAGTGTACATAGATACTCTTTAACAGCTTTACTTATTTCAGATGTCTTCTAACATTGTTTTTACTGGATGAAATTTTATATCAAATAAATGACAAACATTTTCTGTAAACAAAAATGTAATATGTGAATTCATGATCTTTACTTTAAATGAACAGCTTTTTAAGAGTTTTGCTGCAAGTATTAAATATCCAATTGATATACAGAATTTTTTCAGTGTTACGTGAACTTATCAGAAGTTTCCATTGAATGGAATGGAGGATAAAGGTTGGTAATTTTCGTTTAAATTTTATCTCTATTAGATAAAGGTATTTTTGTTTGGGCATAATTAAGTGTTTTATCTTTGAATTTGTTCATGAAAATACTGAATTGTGAGAAAACCGAAAAATATATAAAATTATGTAATATGAGTTTTATATTTTTCAATAATTGGCTTTATATTGCATTTAGTTGTATTGGAAGTTATGTTTATTCCAAGGCATTTTTGGGTGTGTATTTTTTTTCAGAGTTGTTCATCGCCACAAGTTTCTTGCAACGTTTTACACAATACTTAACATTTTTCTGTGTGAATTTTTAATTGCTGCGTAATTTGCGTGAACAAATAAATAACTTATGATTCTGTAGGATGCAATTTCTTTTCTCTTCTTAAAAGTTTTTTTCAGACTTCAGTTAATAAGTAATATAAAAGGTTTCTTTCTTCCAGAATTGTTTGTTGCAAATTTTTAGTAGAACGTTTTCTGAGATGGTTTTGTCTCTTTTATTTTCTTAGAAGTAATTATCAGAGCCATAGGCCTACTGGGGAAGGAGGGCTCTCTAATCATACTCCTAACGAGTGTTTTGCCGAACCGCAAGGTCACTCGGAAGACGGCAAACTGCAATTCCAGAAGAATGAAAACGGGTGGCAATAGTTAAGCAACATTATTCTGCAATGTGGAGTGGTTGGAATTCGCATGTATGGCATGGTAAAGCTACAGTGTTCGAGCAAGGAGTTACGCTGGTCCAGAAGGCAGCTGTTATCAAGGTTAGTTATATTATAATTTCAGTTTTTCAATTAGTGCTGAAATATCGTGTAATCTGTAGTTTATAACAATTTTTAAGAAAATTAATTTCATTTAGAAATTTATTTTCTTGCATGTTCAGCTTCTTCTGGAAAATAACTTTCATTTTATACCAGGATTATAAAATACCATTTCTGTTGCAAGAAATCGTTCATCGGACCTTTTACGGCATAAATGATGACGCATTATCATTTTACAGCACGGAGGAGTGTGTCATCTCACGTTATAGTTTCATAACAACTCTCCTTTAAAGTTGAACGCTGTAGAATTGCGTGGACATTCCACAGAATAATCAGAGTAACCAAACAGTTTTTATTTGCTCTCAGATACAAATGAATAAGTTTACAGAAGTACATTATTTTTTGATAGTATGAATGAAGTACTGTGCGTGGTTTTGAAAGATAAAGGAACATAATAAGGTTCATAAAATTTAATGCTCGTAAGTTATTTTCATTTAAAACAATTCTAGATTTTTCGGCTTAATAACCGATATTCGCTTATTTCGAGTAGAATTGAATTTAATTAAAAGTAGGAATGTCAATAAATCTTTAATTTTTATCATGTGACTTCAATTTTGAGTGATTTCACCACAAACTTGATGCCTTCCATACTTAGTACTTAAATCAGTCATCTAAACAGCTAAGATAAACTTACGACTTTAATGTATATGCCCGAACAACCTATATGATCGTTGTTGGTTTCCATCTGACTTTTGTTGTATTCTTTATTCTTTTATTTGCCTCATCTGCAACAACATGGCGCTAACAGCATCTCGATACCTCAAACAGTTTTCATGATATTTTCTGTGGCAAACTTAGGTGGTCACCTTCTACTTCATATGATAATCACATGATGAGTAAAAATAAGGAAGTAACATTATGTAGTACATATTTAAATAATGCAGTTATACTAAACTCTTCATAACTAATTTCTTACTCAGTATCGCCCACCAATTTATAGAGCGTCAGAACGAGATTTTTCCTCTCTGTTTAGCATCAATCCTTTACTTAACTCCTTCCATGCATTTATAGTTAGCGTAAGCATTAATTCAGATACCATTCACTGAGTAAGCACACGAAATGTTTCAGTTAATAATGGGGAAATAATTATAGAAAACCGAACCTGATATTACCAATTTTTTTGTGCAGAATTTCAGAAGCTACGAGTTACAGTGGAACTTAAAATTGACCGTACCCAACGCAGGAAAATAAAAATGGGCTTAGAAAATTTTTTTCTGAGCGGATCTTTTAATAACTGAATAAATAATAAATAAAAAATACCTTCTCCCAATGCATATGCAATTCACCACAAAAATTAACGTACACCGACAACTTGTTATCGAGAAACACGAAAAATATTCATTCAAAATTTTGTGGAACGACTTTCAGCACATACCAACAAACAATCCAGTTTTGCTGGCATTGAAATTACAAGCCTCCTTGTAATATCAGGGGCGATTTCTTCCCGTTCTCCTTGAACCCTTTTCTACTCGAAACTTTAAGCTTCTGCACTCCGAAGGGTGGTTTTTGTGATTGTTCGCGATCTACAGTATATTGTTCAGATTTGCCTATTTCAAGGTTTCTTCTTCGTTACTCTCTCGTTGTAACCTGCATCTCAGTGTCTTTCGGACAGTTTCTGAGAATACAGTTATGTCTATTGTTGAAACCACAAACGGAGTCATTTTAACGACACGAGGATTCCTTCTGATATTGACAATATTTCTTTTATATCGTTCGTTGAGTATCGGATTTAGGTCTCGGCCTCTAATCTGCCATCGTACTTGAGTACATCTGCCAAACCTCGAATTTAAACGAGGTCGTCGCAATACCTCATAATTTTTCCCTCATGGCTTAATTTACAATAAGTCTTCGTCGTTTCATTATTTCCCTTCTCGGGACCATTTTCAATTCTTTGTTGCTCGCCGTAAATGTGATGAATTAATGTTTGTCACAACTTTGTACCCAAGAAATAGTTTCAACGGATACATTTCAAATCGCGCTTGTGATGGTGTACGTTCATTTCTAATCAACGCTTATCTGTAAACATCTCACGAAATATTTAATTATACGCCTAAATAAAGCAATTTTCTGCGTTTGAATTACACTATCCTTTCATGAAACCTCAAATATCAACGTTACATATTTTATTTCCGGAAATATTCGCATGCAAAGAAGGCTGTACAGTAAAGTTGAACGTTCGATTTGAGCCACTGTGTTTTCTGGAAATTAAGACAAATTATACACAGCACCAAGCAATCATTAAATTACACTTAATTACAATCGAACACAATCTGTAGAATCTAAATCAAGGTAGAATAACTATGTGCCTCTGCCAGGAGCCTGTGGGTTAACTGGATGCGTAAGCATTCCTTTGTCACCTCACTCTGCCGCCTCTCGTATCGGTGCTCATCAGTTCATTTATTACACGCTGCCCGACAGGCCCCCTCTCCCTCCTTGGCTCAGTGGGCTGGTCGGCCGGGAAACCGTCCACGCGGAAACATCGAGCAGGTTTGTATGAGTCTTCGTTCCAACTTAATGATACGATTGGTCTTCGCTAGGAGACAAGGTTTTTGCTAGGTTTTCTGCGCCAGCAAATTTTTGTAATGCACGAGTGGAATTACACGATTCTGATTTTAATTGCTGATTCTATAGAAATAATTTTACTTCTTTCTTGTTGAGAAATAAATATAAAACATACTTTTCATTAAAGTCTGTTTCGTCACATTCATCTTTACATATATACGTTCTTTTCATATAATTTTATAATTACAAAAATATTAACCATTCTTCAAGACTCGACTAATAAATTACTATCGCTCGCCTCGGAGAACTCTAACGCAATGCTTCGCAGTTAACTTTCTGACCTCATCATTCATCGGTCTTGTTCTTAAAAACATTGTAGCAGATTATTAACGTAGCAATGTTTAAATCAAGAATTCCCTTTTCCTTACACGGAGGTGTGGATACTGGGAACCTCTTCATTCCGTAGACAGTGCAAGAATTGTTTGCTTGGTCAATCTCCTGGATTTTTCTCTGCAATATACACCTCGGCTAGAATTGTTTCTAATCTTCTTTGTTGCAAATGTTCGCACAATGCAATCTTTTGAGCATTTTTAAGAATTTACTATTACAATTGTACAGTGCTAATTACAAAGAATGTTTTTCGGTCAATAAAGTAAAAGTTACGAAAAAATACATACTTTCATTGGTTTACAAAACATGAATAGAAAATGAAATAAAATAATTTATTATTAGATGTTTTAAAACTTAATGAATATTTTTGTAATTATTGACAACTTTATATTGGTGATACCGATCAGTCGCTAGTCCATATTCGCCTGTTGGCCACCAGTCTACCTTTAAGATTAATCTAACCCCCTTTAAAATTTCAATAACCTACAAGGGATTGATATCGACCCCGTTGGGAACCTCTGGAATAAATTGTTGCAAGTGATGCAATTTTATTAATAAATTCGCGCAAAAAGCTATGTAAGGAATATAAAATTCTTCGTCAGACATATGACAACATTCTAGAATGAACTTTGTGAGTATAACACATTACGAATGATTTGTGAATCCTTAACAACAAAACAATAAACAATGAAACTGCGGCTACAGCTAAAGCTAGTATTATGCATGAATGTGTGAAGAAATTTTGAAAATGGCGTGATGGATCCAATAATGTTACTGGAAAGTAAAACGATTTTATTCCCTCGTGAAAATTAGCCCTTATTTTGACCAAATTTTTCACTCGCAAATAAAATATTATTTTACTCTCATATCATAACTTACTATTAGTCTTACTATTTTATAAATGATTCTATTTGCGAAATAGTTATAATGAAAACCACACATTCATATGAACCTTTTTGATAAATGGAGACTCGTGGGTTAATCATTCATTTCTAATGCACACGTAGTATTAGTTATGATACAATATTTTATTTACACGAAAATCTTCTCTGATTTTTATTTTCAATTAATTCTTTTACTCGCTCTTTTAAACAGTGTTCCTTTAGTATCATTTTAATTTGCAATTTTCAGAATTACATTAGTTTCCAATAATCATTTGTTTAAAATTATAATCGTTATAAATTACATTGAAACGTCATATTATTAATGTGTTTTGTATAATACTTCTCTATTTACTACAACATAATTATAATTTTTTAAGTAAATAAATGCTTAAAAAACAATTTATGTTCATTCTTTTCCCCTTCTTTTTTCTTTCTGCTTCTACCCCCTCTTTCGCCTCTTTTTCTCTTATTTTTCTACAATTCTTTTAATATCTTCGTTCCTATTTTTTGTCAATCGTTTTCAATTTATATTTATTTATTTAATAGGTAATTATTACAAACAAATTAGCTTACTTGCTCCTATGTGGCTAGGCCGAAGGCCTTTAAGCCATTACAATACCTACATCCTTTCACGTTCTAATCTTTCGATTTCTGGTATTCACCCCATTTCAATTTATATTCATGGTCTTACCCTCCCCCTACCTTTCTCTATATTTCCATCAAACACCCACACAATTCGTGCTGATCAACAATCTAAAATCATAAATTGAATATCAACCTTAAAATTAAATTTAATGAAATTAAAACGATTTTTATGAGAATCCTTGAGACGCCACAGCAAATGAATTAAAAATTTAAAGAAACCGTGAGTGAATATTTTATTTTTACCAGTAACCATTACAGCACGATTTTCCTAAAACATCGCAAACAACCAATCAAGAGTTCTTTTGACGCAGTTATCCTTTGACGTCATCCTCGCGTCTTTCGTCTACATGTCGATGGCACGATCCGTTGCACGCGGTGGCACGGGTACCTCTCTATTTAGCACGTGCAT